GGAATTAGGGATCCCCTTGACATCCTAGGTTTTGGTTGATTTTCATATGGTTTTATAAAGGATTTTATATACAACAACTGAATACGACTTTAAATGATTTTATTACAGTTTTAGCCGTATTTAATTAAATCTCATTTGAATTTCATTCGATGTCAGCTGATTTTAAAGGAATTTTAATTAAATGTCAATTGATTCTAACGGGATTTTAATTCGGTTGTAATTGATTTTAAAAGGAAATTTAATTAAATCTCAATTGATTCTAACGTGATTTTGATTCGATTCTAATTGATTTTAAAAGGAAATGTAATTAAATCTACATTGACTCTAACGGGATTTTAATTCGATTTTAATTGATTTTAAAAGGAAATTTCATTAAATTTCAATTGATTCTAACGTGATTTTAATTCGACTCTAATTGATTTTAAAAGGAAATTTAATTAAATCTCAATTGATTCTAACGTGATTTTAATTCGGTTTTAATTGATTTTAAAAGGAAATTTAATTAAATCTTAATTGACTCTAACGGGATTTTAATTGGATTCTAATTGATTTTAAGAGGATTTTAAAGGCGGCCCTACTAAATCCTTTCAATAAATATGCCCCCCTAATAATAAATAATTTCTGGCCACCCGGATTATTTATTATTACGGGGGGGGAGGGGGGGGGACGTCGTTTATTATTAGGGGGAAGGGATTAAACCTGTAGTATGGGGTTTATTGCTACAGGCTTGCCCTAACCCCTAAAACCCTAAACTCTAAGCCTCAAACTTTGATTTTAGGGGCTGCTAAGGGTATACTCAGGGCACATATAATTACTAGGCATAGAAGGACCATAAGGCATAGAAGGACCATAAGGTTCAGGCGTCCTTTCGCCTTTAGATTTCTTGGGGCTGGGGCATAGCATGCTTTAGATTAGAGGCAGAAAGGCTTTTCCGAAGAACATGCAGAGAGAGGAAAGATGGAGGGTTTGGGGTTTGGCCTTTAGAGTTTGGTGCTCCTGGCAATCGTCTGATAAGTCGCTGAGGTATGGGAGCCTGTGGAGGGAAACCAAGAACATGGACCCTAGGCCAAGAATCTTGAGAAACTTAATCGCACGACTGATGGTTTAGGAGCTGTGGCCTTGGTCTTCCTACCGAAGCTTAGCATAGTGTGGGAAGTTTCTTCAACAGCTTGCTTGATTTGTTCGAGGTGTAAGATTCAAGAAGAGAAGAAGTAATCTTCTAATCCAAGAGATGTTTGTAGGTGTTCCTTTTTTCTGACCTGCCTGGATCCTCACAGAATGCTCCTACGTTCCCTGAGCAAAGCCCTAAACCTCAGAACGCTAAACCATGTGGGTATTGGTCTAAAGTCCCTATACTACGGGGTCCTATATTTGGGTTCCCATTATAATACGGGCCCCTATATAAATTTCTTCATTTTGGGAACCGTAATTTAGGAAACTACCATGTAGAACATTCTGTGCCCGTTCGCCTACCACAGCCCAGGATAACGGACGAGTCCGTATCAACGAATTTCACGGCGTCTTGGTTGCTGTTTAGAACCCTAAACCCGAAGCCTTAACCCTAGACAGGTAACCCTGAAGTCTGAACCCTTCACCCTAAAGCCTAAACCCATGTCCTAAACCTTTCGCGCTAAGCCCTAAGCCCTAAACCTTGGATTTTGGGCAGCAATAATCCCATATGGTAGAGAAAAACGGGATCAGGTTGGTTCCGAGAGCGACCTGGCTGGCGACTTTGATGACTCAGAGCCTCAGATGTCATGCTTGGATTATTTTTCTACATAAGCTGCTGTCTAAACTCCTTAAAGGGGGTTTTCTCGGGAATTATGTAGGGACTACTATAGGGGTCATTACAGTGGATAATGGGGATACGTGTCGACTTTAGCTCAAATGGCTTCCCTAAACCCTAAACGCTTCCACTATAGATAGCAGAGCTATCGAGGTTCGCATATTTAGCAAGGAGGGCCAGCATGCTGTTTCCGGGTGGGGTGATCCAGGGTGATGGCTACCTGCTCGCATAGTTTTTAAGGCTTTAGGGGTTTAGGGTTGGGGTTAAGGATTTTGGGTGCTCTGTAAGTATACTCAAGCCCGAAAAGGAACGTAAAGCTAACTACTGTAATTCCCGCCACAGTCTCGAGATGTACGATGTAATGTTGAATTTCGTCTCTAGCACTGGCCCAAGTTAAGTTACCCTTCAGGAATAGAAAGCGTCTAGGGTCTCAATTGACAGCACCACTAGGGTTTAGGGTTGAGGGATTAGGGCTATATAGCCGAGATGTTGATTCTCTGGACCCAAATCGTTAAACAAATGTAGGCGTCGGGTTTCAAAACTCAAGACCATCCATCTAACGTACGATAGTACTTACCAGGAACCTACCTACACCGGACAATGTAGTACCCTTTTGGGGGTACCCCAAAAAGTCACACATTGTACTACATAAACCAAACGTTCATCACCTATTCCATGTGTATTTTCATTTCATTCCTCGTTATTGGTGATAACCTGAGCTTTTGCCTACATAGGGCCCTTCGAATTGTCGAAAGCATCCCGGTATTTCCCATCGCCTACAGCCACTAGACCCTTACGCCAAAGCCCGAAGACCAAAACAAGAGCACTTGCTTACCTTGAATAAAAGGATCTTGGCAACCCCAACCCCGAAAATGAGGACCCTGTGACCGTCATATGATGGTCATAGGGTCCTGATTGGGGTTACCCAAAATCCCCTTATTAACCTTTGGCTAGCTAGGAAAGAAGCAATAGATCCTCGTAGTAGCCCCTATATGACCCATTATCGTAGTTTCCATGTTATTTTCCATTCCTTCATTCCCAGCTAACCAAAAGGTTAGAACAGCACTTGGCGCAGCTAAGCGGGCCTTCTCTTTCCTTCGGCCATTGCACAGCGCCCAAGTTGAAACGGAGCCTGAATCCCCTGAGCTTCCTGGCCTAGTTGAAATCATTCTGAGGAATGGGAAGTCCCAAACGAGTCAGCTGACACGAGATACTTGGCTTTGGATCAAGTTAAGGTTGGTAATTAATGTTCACAGACGTTGTGAATATCACTATCCAGGAACTTGGTAAAGCTACCAAGAACCCTATGGCTGTTTCACAGCTTGCAACACGAGTATATCCTTACATGCCGACTAAATCCGCGGGACTATTGGGGTACTTAGACCCTGCATGGCGTGAAGTTCCCCTAAAGCCCCGAACTCACAATTTTGTTTGCTGAACACAGTAGCGTCATGCTGGAATTGTGGTGTCAACAATAGAATTTAGGAAGATGATGTTTTATCTTGGGGTAATATTAGGCTAATATTGTGGTAATATTAGGGTAGTATTCGGGTAACATTGGGGTAGTATTGGGGTTATAGTATGTTGAGGAAGGTGATGTTTGTAGCTGTGACCACCTCACGGTCCAGCGAGACCTGCCAGCAATCTCTGAATTCTCGCCCCAAGAACCTTAAGCCTTTAAACACTCGGACCCTACTCCGCTCCCCAAAACAAGCAAGGAACCCCAACAAAGATGCTAGAAATTGACAGTAGTCTTTGCAGACCTTTTTGTGCTTCCAGAGTAATTTTGGGGTAATACAGACCGTACATACCCTAAACCCCACGTTGCATGCTATACATCGCAACCCTGATATTCCCATGATACAAGTTAAGCACTTTTTTTGTGGTACCACGTCTTCTTGTGGGGACATTACAGCCTTCAAAGCCCTTCCCACCAGCTCCTTCCTTCAGGTCATCTATCTGGTGTTTAATAGGAGAGCCCGAAGAACATGGGAATGGGTACCATCCCTCTCTTTTGAAACAACCTCTAGTTTTACAAGATATTTGCTATATGTCATAGTACACAACGACGTGAATAGTTAGTATTGAGGGGGGCTATTGCTAGAAATGTGTAGGGCGCAGGTTGTTTGGCGCGGGATGCGGGATTGGATCCTTTGTAGTAGTCCCTATCTCATTTCTCTTTGATCTATTCCTTCATTCCCTACTAGGCAGCAGGGAGCTAATAGCACAAGTGCGCCTTTTTTACCGCACGACGCCACAGATGCCTGTCAGTCTCGACTTTCACTATTAGCATGCCATCTCTTCGAAGCAGTAAAAGGCAAACACGGTGGAGGACTTCGTGAGGTTTTCGTGGCGGCAGTTCGATGCATCCAGTCATGCGTGGCAGTCCCAGCTGCCGAAGCAGGCAAGTTGGCGTTGACATGCTCCAGCTTCTCAGGTATGAGTGCTCTTGGGGTAGTCGCGGGGTACCTGATAGCACCAGGCTTGATTCAATTGGCTCGGCTGTGAGCCTCGAGCTTGAGCGCCTGGCCTGTGCAATGCGTGGAATGAGATCAAAGAGCTTTGTCGCGAGAACGGAGCCGGAAGCGATGGCCAAATCAACCGGAGGAGCACAAGTAATTACAGCTGGCTCCTGCGTGCTTTCTATTTGCATCTGACCTCTGGACACAGACAGCCGAACTAGTGTTGATACCAAAAATCTTGCATGACCCGTGTTGATACCAAAAATCTTGCATGGCCTTAGTATACTATAGCACCCTTATTCCTAAGTTATAAGGTACTTAGGGTCATGCAGGATTTTTAGTATCCACCTAAACCCTAAACCCTAAACCGTAGTATCATGGCAGAGTCGAGTGGTCTCCATCACAGATTCAAGGTTTGGGCCTTTCAGCTCAGTAGCACTTTGGGGGTCAAGTGGGTTTAGGGTTTAGGGTTTAGGGTTCAGGGTTTAGGGTTTAGGGTTGGGGGTCAAGTTTCATGGTGTTGCGTGCACTGCTGCAGATCAGGACTCGGTGGTTAGGGCTTGAGGTGGTTTTAGGGTTTAGGGTTTCAGGTTTAGGGTTTAGGGTGAGCAAGAATGAGCAAGGTAGTGAGCAGCAGCCAAGACACCCAGGCGTGTATGGTTTCCCTACAAGGTTCCTGAAAATAGTTTTTAATTTCTGTTACCTAGAATCCTAATATTTAGCTGAAATTATAATTTCTACTGGGGTTCCAAATCCCTTAGAGTTCCAGTTTGTCAAGCATTCTGTTTTCTCCAACGACAAAAAAAACTTAAACCCGATCACATCCTTGGGGTTCAGTTACACTTTTTACTCTTTCTGACGCTGATTTCCTGCAAAACCCCGTCAAATGTAGGTCTTGTTTGTCCTGCTAACTGTCGCAATCGTGCTCCGTCTGAAATTCCGTCCACATTACATCCGCAGAATCATGCTTCTTGCGCCAAGCAGAATGCTGGAAACCCAAACCCCAAAGCCCAGCGTCCTTGTCCCACCTGCACAATGTCTAACCTGGGTTTTTTGGGGTATGCTAGAAAGCCCTAATAGGAGCCATAAGCTGATACGGGGATAACCTTGGACTTTAGACCTTAATCCTAGGATCCCTATGTACCTCATGATATCGGCCCTGGAATTTTCCATTGAGGGCCGTCCAGCCTCTGATTTTAATTTGAAATCGTCAGGAAAGCCGCCGGCAAGCTTCCGAGTGTCTCGGGAACCGCCGCGAAATACCCTATCCAACCAGGATCATTTGCAGCGTTCCGGGCGTAGGATTTCGGGAGGCTTTCGACATTTGAGGGGCTCTCATATGAATGTAGAGCAGCTGGTTAGTAGAGGGCGAAAGAGTGAGCGGCGCATTAAGACCTGCGATCAGCATGGTCTGTATAGTATATAGGTAGTCGGTATGGTCATTGCAGATGCTACTCCTGTTCATTGCCTGCTAAGCTGAGACACTACTGGCTATAGCTTTTCAGTTCCTGCAGTACAACCCAGATAAGGGATAAGATATAGTTTTTTCTTGGGACTTAGCTTGGACCTTAGACCCTTAACCCTTCGGGATTCCGTTCTAATTCTATCATAGGTGCCTAGAGGTCAACAACCCTAAACCTCAACCCTTAGTAGGGGTCCTAAGTGCCACGTAGTTTTAATGACATCCCAAAAAGCAGACAGCAAACCCAAGCCTTGAATTGGACCAAGCAGATGGAGAGCTTAGGGTTTAGGATTTAGGGTTTAGGGTTTAGAAGTTGGAGTTTAGGGTTTAGAATTTAGAGTTTAGGGTTCTCTGTGCTCTGAACAATTCAAATGACCTCACCTGACCTCGCCTGGAATGGTAGTCCATATGAGCTATAATCTAAACTCCTTAAAGGGGGTTATATCGGGGATTATGCAGGGAACTATTCTAGGGGTCATTAACGGGGGATACTAGGAGTTTAGACTATGGCTCATATAGGGCATGCTCCCACAATGACCTTGTTTCCGGTTCTGGAAGGTTCCAGGTGTAAGATTCAGCGGTCAGGCGCCCCTCAAGTTAGAGAAACTGCCATGTGACTCGTCTTCCATCACTGCCTCATTACTACGGAAAAGGATGCTTCGCACAACAAACAGTAAACCCGTAGAACCAGCCTTCAAGGCCATAAGACTTATTTGTTGGTTTAAGAACCTTGACAACGGCGTGACACACAAGCTCTACAGAGCAGGGGCAGACAGCGTATCTCAGGATTGCGCCCTATGCTTATACTCCCGAAGACCCCCGAATGCAGGTTTGTCAGAATTGTGGTCTTTTTTGTGGTCTTTGTTGGGTATCTTAGATATTAGATGATATTAGATTCCGTATCGTGCTACTAACCCAGAAGGGCACCATGTTTGCTAACCACTTGCCATGCGCACGAACAAGAGCCCACGCAAAGGCATGACCTCACAGTTGGAGCGTGGCCCTAAAGCCAATAGATTCCTGCTTCCTGGGTTGTCGATTGGCATGCAGATTCCGAGTTTCACGCCTGCTGCACCTCTGCTGAAAGGGGGGGTAGAGTTTAGGGTTTAGGGCTCAGGAAGAGTCAGAAATCACATAGTGTTGGATTCAGGGCCCAGGGGTTAGAATCCGAATCTACGAAGAGTAGCGTCTCGGGAGCAGCTCTTGCATGTCTGGCTGTTTGGCTACCTTGCAACTCCAGGTCCTAAGCCCTAAGCCTTTAGGACCTAAGCCGTAGACCCTACGCCAAAAACCTCAAAGCACAAACCCTGAACCCCTGTGGACTGGACGACAAAGCGAAAGCCAGTGAAGGAGGTTTTGGTGGACTCCGGCTGCCTCCAGCGACGCCGCCAGATCACTTGGCCTCCCGTACTCCAAAGCGGTTTAGGGTTTTGGGTGTAGGGCTTAGCCCTCAACGCTAAACTTACCGGTGGTTAGTAGGGAATAAGGGAATATGATCCCTGTACAACCCCTGTAGAATATTTTCTCCTATTCCCTACTAAACACCAGTAAGTAAACCCATAGTCCAAAGGGGTCTCGGGTTGTTTTAGTCTTTGTGGCCCTAGAGATTCAGATCTGAACAGCTTTGTGGGGGGTAGTGAGGATGGCCTCCTCCCGGGTTGCTATTAAGGAACTTCTAGCCCCCCTTAAGTAGATAGAATATGGGTTTATATGGGGATAATGGAAAAGAACATGGAAACGACTATTTAGGTTTAGGGTTTAGGGTTTAAGGATAGAATATGGGGTATATGGAGATCTTATTATGATATACCCAAAGCCATGTTCTGTCTACTTAAGGGGGACTATAGATTAAGTTGCTATAACACGGAAACTCTGTTATTCACGCTACACCCATAGCCCTAAACCCTAAACCCCTAAACCCTAAACCCTATAGTATGCAAGTTTGAGTTCCCAGCAGCAATCCAGCTTGTTCTTTTCTGCTTTATCTGTTACTGTGCGCGAAGCGGTTAAAGCGGATGTCTGGCTTAGGATTTAGGGGTTCAGGGTTGAGGGTTTAGGGTTAAGGGTTTAGGGTTGAGGGTTTAGGATTTCGGATTTAGGGTTTAGGGTTGAGGGCTTATGGTTTAGGAGTATAGGCCCAGGCACCACACCCGAAACCCCGAACCCTCAAGCCTGTCACCACTACTTCACGGACATGGGCCTCCTCTGGAAGTTTTCCGTGAGTATAGTTTTGTATTTCTGTCATCTGTAATCCTAATAACCAGCTGAAACTTTAATTTCTAAAAGGGGTTCAGGGAACTCAGAGCCCTAAACCCTAAACCCTAAACTCCTAGGGTATCAGGTTTTGGGCCATAGCTCAGGTGGCGTCGAGACCGTCTCCGCGACTACCTCTCACGCCATGGCGGGGATGAGACGGGCATCATGCGAGTCTACTTTTATAAGGTTTAGGGTTTAGGGTTTAGGGTGAGTCTGAAGCCACAAATGAGCTGTAGTCTAAACTCCTTAAAGGGGGCTATATAAGGTTCTATATAGGGGGCTGTGATAGGGGTTATTAAGGGGGGATACTAAGACTTGAGACTATAGCCCTCAAATGCGGGCGGCAGAAAGATTACAGTCGTGAGCACTCAGGCTCAGGTTGTCAAGATTTGTCTGGGCTTGTCAGTGTCCCGGATTATGTAGAAGCCTGACTTGTTCCCAAGATTTTGTTCGAGGATAATCTTGTTATTTGTAGAGAAGACTAGACCTTGAAAAGCCTTACATTGGGCTGAGCGGCGTGGGGAAGAGGGTCATGTTTGGTTGGGTCTCATAGGCCCTTTTAAGGGGTTTATAGGGCTTATATAGGGATAATGAAAAAGAAAATGGGATCTATTAGCTTAGGGTTTAGGTATTTGGGTTTTAGGGTCAAGTGGTTAGGGGTTTTGTTTAGTAGGGTTTAGGCTTCAGGGGTCCAAGTTTGTACAGAATTTTAACGAAACGTTGCTGTTGTGTGGCCTGTGCAAACAGGGTCGCTAGACAACGCCGATGCGTCTAGGTATTTGGTGCCCACGTGGGGGACACCCATGCAATTACTGCCCCATATCCTCGCCAGCCCTTCACCCAAGAATACCCAACCACAAAAACTACAAACTCGATCTCGACAGTTCTTCCAAAGCCGTTACTGGTAGTCAGCGCTTCTTGAACAACCCCTCATCGCTGAAAGCATCCAGCACACAAACCTGGAAGCTCACAGGCCTTGATAGGTGCCCTGGAAGATTGAGGGTTGCTCAAAATGGGTGGCCTTAGGCACCCAGGCTACAGGGCTTAGGGGTTAGGTTAACTTGGGGCTTAGGGCTTAGGTCTAGGGATGATGAGGGCATTAGGGTTTAGGGTTTAGGGTTTAGGGGTCCTCATTCGAGATTGTGTGGTGATCATGTTGAGAAGCTCCTCTGTGGCTGCAGGCCTGGCAAGGTTTTAGGGTTTAGTAGATTGGGGTTTAGGATTTAGGGTTTTAGGAGTTAGGGGTTTAGGGTTCAGGGTTTAGGTATTAGTAGGGTTTTGGGATTTAGGTGTTTAGGGTTTAGGGCTTTGGGTGGTCCCCCGTGTTTACCTTAGACACTACACCTTACCAAAGACTACTACAATCCTCCTCACAGGAACCCTCAAGTGGAATCCGTGCTATTTTCGAAGCACCCATATGGAGATCTCTCAAAAATGACCCATCCCTATAGGGACCTCAAGCGTGCCTGCTTTCAGAAGGCCCAACAGATAGATAGCTACCAAAAACGACCAATCTCAAAACCCTAGATCCCGTTAGTCCTAGTTCCCAAGCCCAACACCCTTAAGCCTACGTATCTCATGATCCCTGAGCCGTAATCCCCCGAAAACTAAACCCTATGCCCTAATTCCTAAGACGCCCTACGTCCTAATTCCTAGATAACCCCTGCATGTTTCATTGTCCGTTAGCTTTTCCATGAGAGTTTCCTCTCCTAAGCGCTAAACCTCAAACCCAAAACCTAAACCTCCACCCTTCATCCCTAAACCCCAAACCCTAACCCCAAAACCCTAACGATCGCTGCGCTCAGCAGGCTTCGGTGGCGTGAACGAACCCCGAAGTTGGCAAATCCCCGATGAGGCGCCAGCCGACGATCAGAGAGAAATGTAAAGAGATATAGGTTTTAGGTTTTAGGGTTTAGGGTTTAGGGTTAGGGTTTAGGGTTTAGGGATATTTGGGGTTTCTCCAAATGATGGTATCCTTTTGGGGTTCCCGCAGCTAGAGGATTATAGCAGTGTGGGGTCCATATTGGGTCCCCTATCTACGGACAACAACTATATACGCGGAGAGTACCGTAACCATATAGCGTATAGCTTAAAACCATTGAACTACAGGTCCTGTTAGTGTTCTTCCTACTACAATACGAGCCCTTTTAAACAGTAATCTAGCCAAAGGACCAGTATGGGGGTCTATAAAGATATGGTGGATACTGAAAATCCTGCATCCCTAGGTGCCTGCTACCCTGGGCATTATGGAATTCTGGTATACTAATGTCATGCAGGATCTTTAAGTATCAACAGCATATAACCCTAAACCCTAACACTATACATCATGTACGGGCATTTTGGGCCTAGGGCACGGAATGGAGGAGGTGAAGACCAAAATGAGCATGAAATGGAAACTTGGGCTTTATGGAGATTTATAGTCCCCATTGAGTAGATAGAATATGGGGTACATGGGGATCTTCTTATAATATGCCCAAAGCAATTTTCGATCTACTGAAGGGGGACTATAGGTTTTAGGGTTTAAGGTTTCGGGGTTTGGGGAATTAAATGCTTGGCTTTTAGTAGGGAATGGAGGACTGCACATGGAAATGGAAAATGCTGTGCTATGCTGTTGGCGGTTTAGCGTGCAGGGAACAGAGGAATCGAAAAGAAGATAGCAAGAACTTTACTGTTTAGGTTTTATAGTTTACGAGTTGAAGGTTTTGGTATGTGGGAGCGGGGAAGTGGAAAAGAATATGGCAAGTACTATAGCCTGTAGGCCTTTGGGGTTTAAGGCTTCAGCTTTGGGGTGGTTAGTAGGGACTGGCAGTGTGGATGTCTACAGTAGATCTTTCATATTCCCTTCATATTCTGCTGTATTACTTTCTGAAACCTACCTTTCTTGCCTCCCTTCTGACCACCAGCCTCAACGTGTAGGGTCTAGGGTTTAGGGTTTAGAGCCTTTGGGTGTTAAGATGTTAGGGGGTTAAGGGCATTTGGGTTTGGGCATCTAAGATGTCGGTCGGTTTGTTCTGCGGCCTCATAGGGTTTAGGACCTGTTCTGTCAGTATGGCCACCAAACTAATTAGACCCTAAACCCTAAGCGCAATCAATTGGAACACGGGCTCCGGAAAGAGAAACAATCATGGGTTCTCCTACTACCCCCTCTATACTACCCCTCACCCTAGATGCCCCCTGAATACCCTAGATTCCCCCTGAGCTAAGGTTATTCAGTGGTAATTAGGTTCAATGAAGGTTCATTAAGAGGGAACCTAGGGGAGTGTAGTAAGGGGGGGGTTAGTAAGGAAACCCATGAAACAAGAAGAGCAAGGACGGTGGCAAATGTTTCAGGCTTTGTACTGCTATGGTGGATGGGAGAAATGTTCTTCCACCGCGAACCCCCAACATTGTCCAGCTTCTGATGTGCAATGCCTCTATGGCAGTGCAGGGTTTCCACCTGAAACAGGAAGGACATTTCATGATGGCATTCCCTCGCAATGTTATTTTTGGAGTGTAACCAGAAGTACCGACAGAAGTGCTGAAGCAGAATTTTTGAAAGAATCATCAGGGTAGAGGCCCAAGTTAGGGCCTAAGGAATTACCAGAATCTCTTTGAGGTACATCAGGCTGTAGTTATACAAGGAATCTGGACGGTAATATTGTTGTTTGGCTTCTATATTTGAGGTGGCTGCGCCCAAGTACGGTGCCAGTATCCCTGCCACAAAAAAACACGAGTTGGGAAGTCCATGCATACTCCCTGATAGGAACCTTCTTATTATCCCCATATATCCCAGTCGCTTTTGGAGCCCCCACTGTTTTGAGAAGTTGTCTGCGTTTCAGGAATTTAGGTGTAGGGTTGAGGAGCCATGCCCCTGCTCAATAAAGTTGGATGACAGTTTTTCATGATTCTAACCCCAGGCCCCCTAACGGATCCAAAGATGGAACCCCCCCCCAATATGAACCCATTACTACGTTCGGGAAACTAGGGGATTGTTAGGGGGTTCCATTTTTTGGATCCTTTAGAGGGTCTAGGATTGGGCTGGCCTTTGGGATACTTAAATATCTTCTCTGATTGGTTCCATAAGGACCCTACAATTATTTTTCAAAGGACTCCAACGTCCAACCAAGCGAACAGTCGGAAATACATATGGGCTATAGTCTAAACTCCTAAAAGGCTATATAGGGGAGTATGATAGGGGTTAGTAAGGGAATACTAGGAATTTAGATTGTGGATCATACATGAAGCCCCTTAAGATTGTTACCCCTATTGCAGACGATTACTGGGTTGGGGCAGTACGCAAGCCATACTGGTGATAGCTTCAGCGTAGGGCATTACTATCAGTTTGAGGGTACTGAGAGGGTCATAGGGATTTAGTAAGTAGGTTTTTCATGGGGATAGCTAGAGTTATTATGTGGCTTATCGGATAGTAAATATGTTTACCTAGTCCCCCCGAGCTTCCAAGTAAACTTGGCTACCGCAATGATTTCGCGTGTCTAGGTCCCTCAAGCCGCAACCCCCAACCTTCTTTAACTCAAAACCCACAACCCTAAACTGTGCAGTTGATAAACTGCTCTGATTACGAAAGCTTATACTACCCCACCCCTTCTGCTCCGCCTGCCTGGAATAAGCCCCGCAGGCTTAGTCGTGCTTTCTAGGCATGTGGTAAGAAGAGGGGGCCGTGCCCCTAAACTAATCCTAAACCCAAACCTTGACCGAATAATCTGCAGGAGACGTTGTTTCCTCTGCATTTTGCAGCACAGAGTGGCAACTGGGTGTGAAAGGGGAGCGCTGCGGGTCCATGATTTGGGGTCTAGGTTTTGGATTTAGGGCTTGAGGGTTTTAATCCCCTCCCCCCAATATTAACCCCCGACCCCCCCCCCCCCACACCCCCTAATGCGAAATATTCCCCATTAGGGGGGGTTGGGGGGGACTAACTTCAGGGAGAGGGGATTAGGTTTGGAGTGATGAAAGGAATGCAGACAATTCTTTCCCTCTAGTATTGAACATCCGGTGGGTATGCGGTGGAGGGGGGGTTCATATCAGGGAGGAGACTACCAAGAGGAAGCTGCTCCTACCATTGGGGGGTTGTTTAAAGGTTTAGGGTTTAAGGTTCGGGTGGTTGAATGGGCCTAAACCCCAAACCAGAAATCGTAAACCTACACCCCTGCACCCCAAACCTCAACATCCCTGATTTCAAAAACATTCCTTCAGTCCCCCTTTTTGGCATCCTCGTATCAGCTAAGGTATAATAGTTCTTAATCAAGGTACGCTGGGCCTTCATTTGGGCTTAGCTCCTAGCATGGAGGGTATGAGAGCTTATGTCAACAGACCATGTCTTCCTAAATCCGAAACCCTGAACTCTAAACCCTAAACCCTAAACCCAAACAAGACCTTAGCTTGCCGTTGGTGGTGCCTTCAGCATTTCAGCTTGCACTAAGACAAACTGGGGAGCCTATGAACTAACCCTACGCGGTGCAGGGTGTGGTTAAACCCTCATTCGTGAGATTTAGGCCATCAACCCTCCAAAGTGGCCGGCATGAGACATTGCTGGATCTACATGTAACCCCATCTGGTAGTTTCCAGAAGTTGGGGGGACCTTAGGGAAACTACATTAGGTTACGGACCATAAGATGGGTACATCGAGAGTTACAGGGTTTCCTCATTCTAGTAACTTAACTTAAGGTCCTTAACAGCAACCCAGTTCAGGGTTCTCATGAAGCTGCAGGTAAACGGTGTTCCATGCATGGTCGAGCATAGCCTGAGCAATGTCTGACTGACTGACAGACAGATCCAGGTTTCGGGTTTAGGGTTTGGGGTTTAGAGTCTGAGGTTCAAGGGAGGGCTTTGTAACCAAGATCCAGCTTCCACGTATTGCTCTGCCCGATTTGGCCAGTGTCTCTCGATCAGGCACCCCTTCTTGGGAAAGGATCATCTTGCCGATCCCAGTTCTTGGTGGACAACAGCTGAGTAACATCGAAAATTTTACGAAACGTTCGCGCTGAAGCCTTACCGAACCCAATATTTGGAACCTGTTTTGCTTAGACTTACTGGTGCTTTAGGGTGAGTGGGGCGTTGGATCCCTACAATAATTCCACTCTAATCCTCTAAAATTGTCCTCATATCCACTCCCACCCTCCTCCTGGTAAGTAACTACACGGCCCGAAACGGAGCTGTGAACTTGAGCCGTCAACCCCACACACCAAGCCTGCCTATGGCTGCCAGTATGAGATTATCTACTTGCCCACACCCTAAACCCTATTGAGCCCTAAGCCCTAAGCCCTGAAACCTACTCTAAGCCTAAGCCTGAAACCCTACAACGCCCATAACCAAGATCCCAAGTATTTTTGGGTACATAACTGAACTTTTAGGGCTTCCTGAGCTTGAATATTGCCCAGACCTTCTTGGAGGATCTAAAAATTCGATCCTCTGTATACGCGCCTGCGCTCCGCGTTCCCACCCCCACCCCCGCCATGGTATCCCCCCCCACCCCCCCCCTCCAATGCCTCAAAGGGGTCAACAGTCAGGGATGCCCCTCGAGGCCACCATCTGTCGTCACAACGATCAGGGTGGTCCTCATGGCTATCCTGGGGGGGTGAGGGGGCGGGGGGGTGGGGGGTGGATGCTGGCGCATATAGACCCATAATAACCCGAACATGAGCTATAGTCTGAACTCCTTAAAAGGGCTAGATAAGGGATTAGATAGGGGATTATTATAGGGGTTATTGAGGGGGATATTAGGAGTTTAGGCTATAGCTCATCTAATCCTTATACAATTTCCCATATGGTTCTAGGGGTCTAATGCCTAAACCATAAACCCTAAACCCTAAACCCCTAAACCCTTAACCGGGGTCTAAGGCTGTCACCGTATGGTCCACCAGCTTATCAAAGAAGGGGCAGACGTCCACAAGCAGCTTGGCCCCTAAGTGGGTGGGGTTATGGGGGTTTAGGGTTTAGGGGTTTGGGGTTTTAATGGCTCAGGGTTTGAGATTAACGTATCAGGGTTGCGGGTGAACCCAATACCCCAGGCTGAACCCTCAACCCCCAACCCCTGGTGTATTCTAATCTGCGATCGGGGTTGCGATTTGGGAGGATTTTGGAGGGCATCCTAAACTTGTGGCTGGGTCTAGCGTTCAGGGATTACGTATTTAGGGTCTCGTACTCTTTGAAGACAATTCTTTGCTAACAGGGTAGTGGGCTCCCTTGGTGCATTACACAAGGTTACGAATTCTTGGTCAGGGTATGCCTTGGGGCTTCGGGGATGTAGAGCTTAGAGTTTATAGGGCTTAGGGTCATGTCCCAAGTAGGAATTGGGTTTTTCAGTTTTGAGTGACGCCTGTAACCTGTAAAATTTGCTTTTCATCCATCTACACGTTTCGCACAGGGTCTAAACGGGCCAAGGATTCCTAATCAAAGCCCTAAACTCTAAGCCCCGGGCCTAAGCACCTAAACCTTGATCTCGCTGCCAGATATCAGAAATTCCCGCGCGTTGCTATTAGAAAGACTAGAACTGAATTGTGGAGCAGTGGAAATAAGCCCCTCAACTGAATATTGAACCCCCCCAGCCTCAAAGTTAACGTTTACCTGTAAAATCCTTAATATGGGGTAGCATGGGGATAATGGAAAATAAAATGGAAACTACTATAGTATATAGGCATATATATATATAGGGATAATGGAAAACAACATGGAAACTACTATAGTATATAGGGCAAATATATACGGATAATGGAAAATATGATGGAAACTGCTATTTCAGAGACATTGGGACCGCGTTAAATATTCAGGCGTTGGGTGGGCTCATGATTTTGGCGGAAAAGGATCCAAGCCTGAATCATTAAACCCCTAGACCCTAAACTAGACCCCGAATCCCAAAACGCGAAACTCAGGAACCCCTAAACCCCTAAACTTCCCAAACCCCTAAACTCCGAAACCCCCTAAACCCTAAGCCAGGAAAACATCCCTTGGGCGAACCGCGTTGGAGCTGGCAACAGAGGCAGATGCCTCTGGCTCCCATCGCATGGCACCTTGGGCTCTGCGGGCTTAAGCTTTAGGGTTAAGGGTTTAGGGTTAAGGGTTATAGTCCCCCTTAAGTAGATAGACTATGTCTTTGGGTATATTATAATAGGAACCCCATATACCCCATATTCTATCTATCTACTTAACGGGGACTATAGGGTTTAGGGTTTAGGAACTCTTAGGGCTTCCTAAGCTTTGAATATTGCCCAGACCCCTGGAGGATCTAAAAGTTAGATCCCCTGTATGGACCCATAATGGCCCCTATGTGAGCTATAGTCTAAACTCCTTAAACGGCTGCTATCTAAGGGGACTATTATAGGGGTGACGAAGGGGATATATAATCCTTATATATTTCCCCATATGGTTCTAGGAGATCTAATTCTTAGATCCCTTTGAAAGTCCGGGTAGGGTGTTGAAGTAGGGAACTACAGGAATGGATCCTGAAGAAATCCATATGTGAAGTAGGATGTTCATCATGGTTTTCGGTCAGTGTATGTAGAGTTCCCCAGGAGTAGTAGTGAGTGTATACATTTGGTGTCCAATTTCGAGCACCATAATTTACAACCCTAAACCCCCTAAACCCTAAACCCCCTAAACCCTAAACCCTCAACCTTAAACCCCCTAAACCCGCTAAACCCTAAACCCTAAACCCTGAGCTGAACCCGCCCTCAACCATATGTCATGCCTGATAGTAGATCCCCGAAACCATGCCATCCGACCCGCTTGACGTTTAGGTTTAGGGTTTTGGATTTTTAGCAGTATGAAACAGGCAGGGGCTAGTAGTCTCATGCGCGAGCTCATGCTACGCGCAGAGCCATCGCCACCCGTGCCGCCTCGGTGTCGCGTCGTGGATTCTTTTTGCCTCGATGGCAGAAAAATTGTGCCCCCCTGGTACGTTTAGAGTTTAGGGTTTATAGGGTTTAGGGTTTATGGGGTTTAGGGTGAGTCCCATTGCTAATGCCCCTTATTGGTTGGAAACCGCGCTCTGACGTAGACGAGTTTGGTTTGAGTGCTGTGCCTTGATCCCAATACTCTACCTTTTTTGCTAACTTAATGCTTAATGTCTTCTATAAACAACATTGGGTACCCCCACAAAAGGGATAGGGTATAGGGATCTAGCCGGTGGAGTGTGTTCAGAGTAGTTTTGGAGTGGTCTTGGAGAGCTTCCAGCACCTAGTGGTACTTGGTTTGAGGTTTTGGGGAGGAGGTGCTGCTGCTAGGCACTTCGACTAGGGTTTCGAAAGCATTGTTATACACGACAATGATATGTGATTCTTCCTACTTCGGTCAATGTAAAAGCAAGGAATATGGTTTTGAGTAAGTTTTCGCTCAGCGTGAATCCTCACACTGCCCGCCTGAAGCGCCGAAGCGCCAGAACAATCCCAAGTGCCCGATACTTAAGTTTTGCAAGGTGTGTATGAGCTATGCAGTGCTATAATATGGTCCGTAGGGTCTAAGCACCTGATAGTTGAGGACTTGAGATTTGTGTTGTAGGAGTTGTAATGAAGGTGTTTCTGCAAGCATGTGTAGATTGAGTGCTTGAGCCCTTGGAGATGTTCTTTTAGCGTGTAGGTTCCAGGCAGATCGCGCAAAAGGGTGACAGGGGATTAGCATGAACGGAACAGGAATGATGGTGCATTCCCTCCGGTTATATCCTAGTCTTTACCAAACTTGGCTTAAAACACAACACCCTCATGTCTCCCTAAACCAAACTCCCTAGGCCCTGAACCCTACAGCGCCCAAAACTTGAGAAGCTCCCAGCTATGATCCCTCATTTTGCAAGTGGAGGAGTCTGAAAACCCTACACCTTTAACCCTAAACCCTTTAGAATCCCTGGTCGGGTCCCCCTGCAGTCTCTTTGCAATCCCCATGTGTCGCCCCCAATTTTCTTCCGGCCTCCTACTTGAAGACAGTCTGAACTCCGCATACCCTTAACCCGTAACCTGACATTCATCATAGTGTGTGTAGGTGTGTATATCATATGTACATATGGTCATATACGTATACGCGCACTACAACCCCCCTTAAAGGATCCCTAAAAAACTCGTTTTTGAGAACTACCCCAAAACATCCTAAAGGTCATAGACCTGCTCAGCGGACGATGGAACATCATGAAATTGCGCGACCTTCGAAGGAGTCCGCCTGGTTTAGGGCATGTAGGATACAAGGGGCTTAGGGTTACACATGTAAAGTTTAGGGATGAAGGAAAGAAGTAATTACCTCTTCAGTCACCTATGAGGCTTTGTTTTACCTTCTGCTTTGCCTTTTGCTACGAAGACGGCAACTCTGAGGTGAGTTCAGGGTTAAGGGTTTAGAGCCTCTCCCAATCAAACGTAGACCGCATGGGGTGGTTGTGACTTTTTTCAAGCTTTTCGCCCTAGCCACTTGTACAGGGCAGCCTTGTAATCTAGAAGCCTGGAGAACTACCAAATTGCTCGATTACAAATAAGTCCAAATATGGCTATAGCATCATATGCCCCAAGCCCCTATTCAAATCTGTAAGGCCACTACAGCAGGCTCCCCTGAGCTAACATGAGATTTGAAAGTGGCCCCGTAACAGAATACGACCTTTTTGAGAGTGGCCTGCATTTGATTCCATGAGAAAAAAAGTGGTAGTGGTGGTAGGCGATCCCCCACCAAGGCACTACTTTTACTTAAGTTCATTGTAAGGATGATAAGTTGGGAATGGGGGAGGGGTCGGGGAGGGGGAGTAATTCCGTACAAACAAACCTCAATCGGTAGGTAATTCAGAGATGTCGCCGCTGGTGGGCTTTTGACGACCGCAACAAGCGTTTGTGCTGGGAATGGCAGCCTTACACTGGCGCCATATGAACTTGCCGCGGCAAATCCGCAAACAAGTTCCGTCTCACAGACAGCGCATGGATGTCGCGCTGAAGCGCGCATCATGGAGAGTCCGAAGGTGAAAATTTGAGCGCTCGAAATAGTAATTTCGTGCGCTCGCATCCCGGCAGCCCGCACCTTGCAACAATGCTATACTATTCAAGCATTTTAACACGTAGCGCCCCTAAGGGATGGCCGCTTTAACCCACGCCTGCTAGTTCCGGGCAGCATTCACTGCATTTGCACTATTACTGAAATTGGCCGCCTCCTCGAAAAAAAATATATGTGGATTTAAGTAAAAGGTAGTGCCTAGGGCAGGGGGTGGGCGGGGCGGCTGGTGGTAGTAGTATTGTTTGTTGTAGTAATGGTGGTAGTAGTAGTACTACTTGTAGTAGTAGTACTACTTGTAGTAGTAGTA